ATTACTTTGCCATGATCATTACTAGCTAGGTAGTTACAGTGGGGGAAAAAAGTATTTAGTCACCCACTTAAAAAGATGAGAGAGGCCTGTAATTTTCATCATAGGTACACGTCAACTATGACAAACAAATTGAGAAAAAATATCCAGAAAATCACATTGTAGGATTTTTAATGAATTTATTTGCAAATTATGGTGGAAAATAAGTATTTGGTCACCTACAAACAAGCAAGATTTCTGGCTCTCACAGACCTGTAACTTCTTCTTTAAGAGGCTCCTCTGTCCTCCACTCGTTACCTGTATTAATGGCACCTGTTTGCACTTGTTATCAGTATAAAAGACACCTGTCCACAACCTCAAACAGTCACACTCCAAACTCCACTATGGCCAAGACCAAAGAGCTGTCAAAGGACACCAGAAACAAAATTGTAGACCTGCACCAGGCTGGGAAGACTGAATCTGCAATAGGTAAGCAGCTTGGTTTGAAGAAATCAACTGTGGGAGCAATTATTAGGAAATGGAAGACATACAAGACCACTGATAATCTCCCTCGATCTGGGGCTCCACGCAAGATCTCACCCCGTGGGGTCAAAATGATCACAAGAACGGTGAGCAAAAATCCCAGAACCACACGGGGGGACCTAGTGAATGACCTGCAGAGAGCTGGGACCAAAGTAACAAAGCCTACCATCAGTAACACACTACGCCGCCAGGGACTCAAATCCTGCAGTGCCAGACGTGTCCCCCTGCTTAAGCCAGTACATGTCCAGGCCCGTCTGAAGTTTGCTAGAGTGCATTTGGATGATCCAGAAGAGGATTGGGAGAATGTCATATGGTCAGATGAAACCAAAATAGAACTTTTTGGTAAAAACTCAACTCGTCGTGTTTGGAGGACAAAGAATGCTGAGTTGCATCCAAAGAACACCATACCTACTGTGAAGCATGGGGGTGGAAACATCATGCTTTGGGGCTGTTTTTCTGCAAAGGGACCAAGACGACTGATCCGTGTAAAGGAAAGAATGAATGGGGCCATGTATCGTGAGATTTTGAGTGAAAACCTCCTTCCATCAGCAAGGGCATTGAAGATGAAACGTGGCTGGGTCTTTCAGCATGACAATGATCCCAAACACACCGCCCGGGCAACGAAGGAGTGGCTTCGTAAGAAGCATTTCATGGTCCTGGAGTGGCCTAGCCAGTCTCCAGATCTCAACCCCATAGAAAATCTTTGGAGGGAGTTGAAAGTCCGTGTTGCCCAGCGACAGCCCCAAAACATCACTGCTCTAGAGGAGATCTGCATGGAGGAATGGGCCAAAATACCAGCAACAGTGTGTGAAAACCTTGTGAAGACTTACAGAAAACGTTTGACCTGTGTCATTGCCAACAAAGGGTATATAACAAAGTATTGAGAAACTTTTGTTATTGACCAAATACTTATTTTCCACCATAATTTGCAAATAAATTCATAAAAAATCCTACAATGTGATTTTCTGGATTATTTTTTCTCATTTTGTCTATCATAGTTGACGTGTACCTATGATGAAAATTACAGGCCTCTCTCATCTTTTTAAGTGGGAGAACTTGCACAATTGGTGGCTGACTAAATATATTTTTTCCCCACTGTATGTTGTTGTGTGTTAAACAAAGTAATGTTATCTCTTACCCATCTCCTCTCTCGCTTCTCAAAAGCCTGCCTCTTTACCAGAGGTGGCCCGGCTCTTTCCGAAAGCGTGAAAATAGTGGGCAATGCTGTTTTTTCAGACCCTAGACAGCCTCCTCTTCACCCCAAACTCCTCCTTCAATTTGGGGGGTAATCCTCCTCGAAGTGCCCGCTGCAAATATATGTGTACTGTGGGTCTTTCACTTGCCAATTGCACCTCGTCCTCCCGACCTATTTTCCCCATATTTTTCAATTTGCCCTGTTGTGGACAGGGCATCTATGTACACTTATAAATGTTTTTGTTGGCTGGGTGTATTTAAACAACCCGCCACTACACATCTAACCACCATGTTTTCTTTGCTATATCTCTCTGCGTTATTGACTTGTGTTTCTGCTTTCTCTCTCATATGCCTTAGTGTACGTCATGGATTTTTTTTGTTAAATAGAACGTAAAAAAAATAAAAATAATAATGTAATAGCTTATAAACTTGGTTTTGTAGCATAAACTGGGAATTTGATATTTTTGACTGATATTATGATTGTCTGTTTGTTTCATAGCTGTTCAAATGCTGTCAGTTGCACTTCAGTGTTCACCTATTTTCCCTATAAACATCTTGACACATTTGCCATTATTACCATAACAATGAAAGTAATCTATCAATGTAAAATGTGTCAACAATATTATCTCAACACTTAATCAATGAAGTAGACTAAATAAATGAACTAGTCTGTTTAGATTTATGTTAACAAGAACAATATGTGCAGTACTCCCTTGGATGTGATGATCATGACGCATCCAAATTCATCCTCAGTTTAAAGCTAGAATCCTTAGTCGCTACATCCATTTTGGACTTAATAAATGAATGATATATAACCATTTATTCTTAAAGAACATCATTTATAAATACCCCATGAGCTTAGTTCAACTGTCAGAACACAAAATAGAAGCTTGATTTACTCCAGTGTTTGTAAACAAAGTAAATGTAAACAAACACTGTATAGCCTCAAAACACGGTTCAAACTATAGTGTTGATATCATGGATGGTCAGTCCCTTGTATCCATAGCTACGTCTATGCGTTTGAGAGTGGTTACATTTCTCCAGCCCCGTCCCTTAGCTTTTTAGCGAAACAAGGGCGGGGAGTTCACTTTGTTATTGTTTCAATTGAGGATTCTAGCTTTAAGCTAAACTTAACAATATTATATACACCAAGTAGAATGTACAACAAGAATAAACAACTGGACAAGGAGCGAGGGAGCATGACGTTTCAGTCCATAGAACTCAGCATGACATTTCAGTCCATAGAACTCAGCATGACATTTCAGTCCATAGAACTCAGCATGACATTTCAGTCCATAGAACTCAGCATGACGTTTCAGTCCATAGAACTCAGCATGACATTTCAGTCCATAGAACTCAGCATGACATTTCAGTCCATAGAACTCAGCATGACGTTTCAGTCCATAGAACTCAGCATGACATTTCAGTCCATAGAACTCAGCATGACGTTTCAGTCCATAGAACTCAGCATGACATTTCAGTCCATAGAACTCAGCATGACATTTCAGTCCATAGAACTCAGCATGACATTTCAGTCCATAGAACTCTCATACCTCACAACCAAAACGCATATGCCAATATTTGTATACAATGAGCCACAATTAGGGCAGTGTGCCTTTGCCATTTCGTGTAAAAGCTGAATTATCAATAGTCAACCAGAGGTTGGTCCTCCTGTGTATCACACTGTGTTGGGAAGTAACTGATTACATGTCATCTGATTTTTAAAAATTATTGTAACTGTAATCAGATTACAGATACTTTTGAAAAACTAGATTAATTCTTGGATTACTTTTCAGAATGGATGTTTACAAAAACTATAATCCTCAATGACATTCAATTCAGAATTTAACAAAGGCGCAAATTTAAGTTTGTTCCACCTGAGTGAGTCTGACCACCAGTCAGAGACCACTATGATGACCACCAATCAGAGACCACTATGATGACCACCAATCAGAGACCACTATGATGACACACCAAATGATGACCACCAGTCAGAGACCACTATGATGACCACCAATCAGAGACCACTATGATGACCACCAATCAGAGACCACTATGATGACCACCAGTCAGAGACCCCTATGATGACCACCAATCAGAGACCACTATGATGACCACCAGTCAGAGACCACTATGATGACCACCAGTCAGAGACCACTATGATGACCACCAATCAGAGACCACTATGATGACCACCAATTAGAGACCACTATGATGACCACCAGTCAGAGACTACTATGATGACCACCAATCAGAGACCACTATGATGACCACCAATCAGAGACCACTATGATGACCACCAATCAGAGACCACTATGATGACACACCAAATGATGACCACCAGTCAGAGACCACTATGATGACCACCAATCAGAGACCACTATGATGACCACCAATCAGAGACCACTATGATGACACACCAAATGATGACCACCAGTCAGAGACCACTATGATGACCACCAATCAGAGACCACTATGATGACCACCAATCAGAGACCACTATGATGACCACCAGTCAGAGACCACTATGATGACCACCAATCAGAGACCACTATGATGACCACCAGTCAGAGACCACTATGATGACCACCAGTCAGAGACCACTATGATGACCACCAATCAGAGACCACTATGATGACCACCAATTAGAGACCACTATGATGACCACCAGTCAGAGACTACTATGATGACCACCAATCAGAGACCACTATGATGACCACCAATCAGAGACCACTATGATGACCACCAGTCAGAGACCACTATGATGACACACCAAATGATGACCACTAATCAGAGACCACTATGATGACACACCAAATGATGACCACCAATCAGAGACCACTATGATGACACACCAAATGATGACCACCAATCAGAGACCACTATGATGACCACCAGTCAGAGACCACTATGATGACACACCAAATTATGACCACCAATCAGAGACCACTATGATGACACACCAAATTATGACCACCAATCAGAGACCACTATGATGACACACCAATCAGAGACCACTATGATGACACACCAAATGCGTTTGATGGAACCTTTTTGTCTTCTTCTAATGCCTCTTAAGGGGAAAGTAATCCAAAAGTAATCAGATTACGTTACTTAGTTTGGGTAATCCAAAAGTTACGCTACTGATTGCAGTTTTGGACAGGTGACTAGTAACGGATTACAATTAGAAAGTAACCTACCCAACCCCGCCTGTGACTGAGCAGCGGGGAGCAGTTGGCCCGGGGCGTTGGTTTCACAGAAGTTTCAATACCTCCTCTCAGTCGCAGTTAGTGAGAGAGAGAGGGGTGTGTGTGTCAAGAGGATCTCCATTGAAATGGAGTGCTTCAGTGTTTTTGTTCAGTTGATGTTGGTAAGCGTTGCCTCTGCTGGGATAAATGGAATACATTGGACATATACAGGTACGTATTTATTCATTTGACTTTTAGTTATCTATAGTTTTTTTTTTTTTTTTTGGACACCAAATCCCAGAAAGACCACAAAGTCTTGAAACTCATTAAAACAAATTTTCTTAATTTCAATGAATTATTAATTTATTAAAGATGATTAACTTTACTTTAAATGATGAAGAGAAAGAGTTTGAGAACTGAAGTTTGCAATGTGTTATTGCTGTTTAAATCAGTGCTCATGATGACAAACAAGAACCAAACATGATGATCAGGCACTGTCTGTGATTATAGCTGTGGAAAATACTAGGTCATTATCATATTGTGTCATGTCTGAGCTCTTCTGCCTGTCATTTGGTTTGTGATGCAGAGTTTCCTGTACTGCCTCTCTTACAAACCACCAGTCAGACATTTGTGTTTAGAGGTTTTGTGATTACACCAAGGTGCTGTGAAGGTCTGCCTACAAGGAGAACAGAGGCACTTTATGCAGAACTGTCTGCTTGGACTATAGCCGGAGGCGTGGGCAGCCAGTGAAAACGTTGGGCCAAGTTTACGTTGTTGCACTGTTCATTATCTTCGTTTATCGTCCACCTGCGGCGTTCTGTTTCTCCCTGCGTCAGAAGGGGCCCTGGACCAGGTGCACTGGGCAGAGCAGTATCCTGCGTGCGGCGGCCGGAGACAGTCCCCGATTGACATCCAGCGGCGGAGCGTGCGACACAACCCCCGCATGCTGAAGCTCGAGCTCTCCGGATATGATGCTCAGAGGGGCAACTTCCTCATGAAAAACAACGGACACTCAGGTAAAAAGTAGCGTGGGATGATGTCTGAAATAACAAAACAAAAACAAACATTTTTCCCACTTCATATTCCCAGTGTAACTTTATTTTTAATCACATTTTAGTCTATACTGTTTTATTATATTGAATGAACAGTCTATACGTTTTGAAACATTTTTGGCAACAGTAACATCTTAAAAAGTTTATCTAAATTAGTTAGGATTGTTACCTTTAGCATAATCTCAATGGGACTACTCAAAATGTCTTCCTGTGTGGTTCGGTTGGTAGAGCAGGGTCCTTGCAAAAACAATAAATGTGGGTTTGATTCCCGCTGGGGCCACCCGCATGTATGCACGCTCGACTTGCTTTTGGATAAAAGCTGTCCACTAAATGACTTACGTTATAATTGTTAAAATGCCTTCTTGTGTTGGGCAGTTCAAATCGTCCTCCCTCCCAGCATGGTGATCACCAAGGGTCTCCCTGGGCGCTACACGGCCGTCCAGATGCACCTCCACTGGGGCGGCTGGGACCTGGAGGAGAGCGGGGCAGAACACACCCTGGATGGCATCAGATACATGGCAGAGGTGGGGGGCTAGTGCTACACGTACGCTACGCCATAAAACCTTCAGGTTTCTGAATGATTTAAAACAGCACAGCAAATAGAAGGTGGGCTTGACTATAGTGGGCCTTAACAGCAGCCTTTGTGCCATCATAATAATATAATAATAATAATAATAATAATAATATAATAATAATAATAATATTGCCATCATGACACAAGGAGTTGACCTGATAGCACAAACAGATCTGGGACCAGGCTACCGCGACCTCAACAGTGCATCTCAGTAATACTGATCTGGGACCAGGCTACCGCGACCTCAACAGTGCGTCTCAGTAATACTGATCTGGGACCAGGCTACCGCGACCTCAACAGTGCATCTCAGTAATACTGATCTGGGACCAGGCTACCGCGACCTCAACAGTGTATCTCAGTAATACTGATCTGGGACCAGGCTACCGCGACCTCAACAGTGCATCTCAGTAATACTGATCTGGGACCAGGCTACCGCGACCTCAACAGTGCATCTCAGTAATACTGATCTGGGACCAGGCTACCGCGACCTCAACAGTGTATCTCAGTACTACTGATCTGGACATAGTTGTTTAAAGATTTTAATACTGTACTCGTTATATCCATACAACAGTCACAAGTCCAGCATAGCAAATATATTCAATTTATTTGGTTTTCATGTTCTTGGTGGACCATAGAGCCTGTACTTAAGTTATCCTCTTGGTTCCTGGAGGAACATAGGGCCTGTACTAAAGTTATCCTCTTGGTTCCTGGAGGAACATAGGGCCAGTACTTAAGTTATCCTCTTGGTTCCTGGAGGAACATAGGGCCAGTACTTAAGTTATCCTCTTGGTTCCTGGAGGAACATAGGGCCAGTACTTAAGTTATCCTCTTGGTTCCTGGAGGAATATAGGGACTGTACTAAAGTTTTCGAACGGTGACGGTCTTGGGCTGATTTCTCACCCTCTAGCCATGACAAGCGGATCTTCTTGAGTTGTTGTATGGATAATGTATAGATTAGTTTGAATCAGATGTACACTCGGATTTTCACAAACTGAATTATTGCTGCATATATATTGTATATGGTGGTTTCCCTTCCAACAGGTTTGTCAACTGGAGCAACTTGCAGCTTACAATTATGATAAACAATGAGGGGTGGACTGGCCGTAGGGCAGTTAGGGCAAACGGCAGATTGGCTGGTCCATTTGTAGCCTAGTGGGCCTGTCTAAACTGGGTTTTTTTTGTGCAAAATGATCATTATTTAGCTAATAATGTGGGCCTCGAGGGAAAAAATGGGCCTGTGTGTTAGAAATGTCTGGGCAGATTTCAGGTCCCAGTTCGTCTCTGTGAAAAATAACTCCTGTATTTGTCTTCTTTGTCCTCTGTGTTTCAGCTCCACGTTGTTCATTATAACTCTGATAAGTACAAGAGCTTTCAAGAGGCCAGTGACAAGCCTGACGGACTGGCAGTTCTAGCCTTCTTCTACGAGGTGAGATCTGGTTCTCCATCTTCTTCTGTTACTTATCATTATTATTATTATTATTTTGGTCCCACTTTAAATGGCATTCAGCTTTATAAAGGCTTCACAAAGCCTTCATAATGCCTTCATAAGCACTACATACATGTGTTACAAAGCATCTATAACCGTGTGTCATGCTTTATAAAGGGTTCATAAATGTGGCATAACTGTGTGACATAATCACCAATGTCAAATGTGTCATAACCCACTGTCGAATATGATATAAACATGTGCTTTATAAAGGATGACATGTTGTGGCGCAGTGGTCTAAGGCACTGCATCGCAGTGCTAGCTGTGCCACTAGAGATCCTGGTTCGAATCCAGGCTGTCTGTCGTAGCCGGCCGCGACCGGGAGATGCATGGGGCGGCGCACAATTGGCCCAGCGTCGTCCAGGGTAGGGTAGGGAATGGCCGGCAGGGATGTAGCTCAGTTGGTAGAGCATGGCGTTTGCAACGCCAGGGTTGAGGGTTCGATTCCCACGGGGGTATGAAAAAATAAATAATGATAATAATAATAATAATAATAATAATAAGTATGCACTCACTAACTGTAAGTCGCGTCTGCTAAATGACTAAAATGAAAAAATGTAAAAAATATAGTGAAATCATGTTAGTCACACCAAACCTAATGTCATTCCCAGACACTTCCACCCAAATGCGCTGAAGGTCTGGTGGACCAACTCATCAAACTTGGGCTTCATTAGTTAGGGTTTGGTTTAAAATCACATTTTAATAAGATAAATTGTGCAAATAGAATGGGCGGGGTTTAGCCATAATTACATTAATGACTTTGTGGCTGTGTTAACTACATGTACATTTTAGTCATTTAGGAGACGCTCTTATCCAGAGCGACTTACAGTTAGTGAGTGCATACATTATTTAAAAAAATAAAATAAAATCATACTGGCCCCCCCGTGGGAAACGAACCCACAACCCTGGCGTTGCAAACGCCATGCTCTACCAACTGAGCTACATCCGGGGGAATGACGACCAGGGGAATGTTTTTGCTAGCAAAGGACATAGCCTGATGACAAATACTTTATTCAGTAAGGTCACAGTAAGGTCACTCTCATAGAATCAGGTTGGACTACTCCAAATCATCTTGGTTCTGACACACATAAAAAAATACGCAAGCTTTGCAGGTCCATCAACCCATTTAAATACCTCTCACACCCTACAGTAACCTGTGGACCATGAGAGAACCGTCATAAATCAGCAGAACGTTAATAACCTGTTTATTGACACTTCGCGTCGTGTCCTGTAACACTTAGTTTGAAGTGAGACACCTTTGGTCATTCATAACACATCCATAAAGGCTTAATGATGTAAACACAAATGTATTAACGTTTAGGGAATTTTCACTAACTGTTAAAACAAAATAAACATTAAAGACGTGTTTTAACCATACAATTCCTTTGATTTTGACATTTTTTAAAACAATACAAATACATGAAGTTTCAAAAAGTCCAGCAATGTACTTACATTGAACATCACACAGGGCTGTGAATAGTGCAGCTTGACGCTGAGCGGGTGGATGAATGGTTCTTTCCTCTCTGACTGCCGGGGGTCCTAGCTGGCTAGCTAGCAATTGCTGTGAAGTCCCCAAAATTATTTGAAATAACGATTGAGGTAGCTATGTAATCCAGCTATGTAATCCAGCTCAACACGTAACTAGATTAATTGAAATTACAATAAATAAAAGTTAATTTACTAGTTTTTTTGCTGTTCAGTGGCACCACAATGGGCATTTGACACTTGTGGGGGTCGTAGAGCAAAACAGATAACACCATCATGTTTGTGAGGGTCTCCCCTTTCCATAGCGTGGTCATAATAGTTCAAACCGTTCGGATGCTACAGACATTTCATGAGAAGACCAATTTTCGAGATGTCTCATGGTCTGTTTATCTCTCCTGTGGCCATGTAGCCAGTCTGTTTATCTCTCCTGTAGTCATGTAGCCAGTCTGTTTATCTCTCCTGTGGCCATGTAGCCAGTCTGTTTATCTCTCCTGTAGTCATGTAGCCAGTCTGTTTATCTCTCCTGTAGTCATGTAGCCAGTCTGTTTATCTCTCCTGTAGTCATGTTGCCAGTCTGTTTATCTCTCCTGTGGCCATGTAGCCAGTCTGTTTATCTCTCCTGTGGCCATGTTGCCAGTCTGTTTATCTCTCCTGTAGTCATGTAGCCAGTCTGTTTATCTCTCCTGTGGCCATGTAGCCAGTCTGTGTATCTCCCCTGTAGCCATGTTGCCATCCTTCCTCTGCTTTAGCCAATGTGTGGTTGTTTTGCCTCATTTTGGCAAGGAGACCATGATGTATCCTAGGAATGCAGAATCCATCACATACCTGTTTGTGTGTTTGTGTTTTTTCCGTTATAGGACGGACATTTTGAGAACACCTACTACAGCGATTTCATCAACAACCTGGAAAAAGTCAAGTACGCAGGTGATTTTGGTTTTCTTTAGAATATTACTGAATCTATCTACATTAATAACATTATTACTGAATCTATCTACTTTAATAAATGTATTACTGAATCTATCTATGTTAATAACATTATTACTGAATCTATCTACATTATTAACAGTATTACTGAATCTTACTGATCTATTATTTACTTAACACTTTTTTAAACATTTCTTATAAACTGCATTGTTGGTTAAGGGCTTGTAAGTAAGCATTTCACTGTAAGGTCTACACCTGTTGTATTCGGTGCATGTGGCAAATAAAATTTGATCTGATTTATCTACATTAATAACAGTATTACTGAATCTATCTACATTAATAACAGTATTACTGAAACGATCTACATTAATAACAGTATTACTGAATCTATCTACATTATTAACAGTATTACTGAATCTATCTACATTAATAACAGTATTACTGAATCTATCTACATTAATAACAGTATTACTGAATCTATCTATATTAATAACAGTATTACTGAATCTATCTACATTGATAACAGTATTACTGAATCTATCTACATTAATAACAGTATTACTGAATCTATCTACATTAATAGCAGTATTACTGAAACTATCTACATTATTAACAGTATTACTGAATCTATCTACATTGATAACAGTATTACTGAATCTATCTACATTGATAACAGTATTACTGAATCTATCTACATTGATAACAGTATTACTGAATCTATCTACATTGATAACAGTATTACTGAATCTATCTACATTGATAACAGTATTACTGAATCTATCTACATTAATAACAGTATTACTGAATCTATCTACATTGATAACAGTATTACTGAATCTATCTACATTAATAACAGTATTACTGAATCTATCTACATTGATAACAGTATTACTGAATCTATCTACATTGATAACAGTATTACTGAATCTATCTACATTGATAACAGTATTCACAGCTCATTTTCTCTCTTCACCTGTTGGGTTGTTGTACAGGCCAGTCCATGAACATATCTACCCTCAACGTGCGTTCCATGCTGCCCGAGAACCTGAACCATTTCTTCAGATACCAGGGCTCTCTCACCACCCCTCCATGTTACGAGAGCATCCTGTGGACCGTGTTCGACACGCCCATCACTCTCTCTCACAACCAGGTACTATACCCATCACCCTCTCTCACAACCAGGTACTATACCCATCACCCTTTTCTCACAACCAGGTAACCCTGCTCTCTCTCTCTCACAAACCTGCTGATGTGTGAAATTAACTTTTCAATTCTCCAAAACTGTGAAGTGAACTCTGCAGCAAGCCTCCATGAAAAGCATATAAACAGCCCTGCGAAAGATTAAATCATTAATTCATCCATTTATTCATCCATTCATTCATTCGATTGATTGATTGATTCATTCATTCTCCTCTCCTCTTCCACTCCTTCTCCTCTGCTCTGCTCTCCTCTCCCCCCTGTCCAGATCAGGAAGTTGGAAAGCACTCTGATGGACATGGACAATATGACCCTGTGGAATGATTACCGCATGGCCCAACCTCTCAACGACCGCGTGGTCGAGTCCTCCTTCTTGCCTGGCCTGGGGAAAGGCAGTATGTATACAGAACCTGCTCTTAGGGATTCAATAGATGAACTAAAACAGAGCAAATATGATCATATGTCTATGTAGATACAGGTCCTGCTGTATATGATAGGAAATGGATCAACTGGTTGTCCTAATAATGCTGTAGCCTCCATTTGAAAAGGCAGTATGTACAAACTCCAAGCATTGATTATGCAAGAATGGGCTGCCATCAGTCAGGATGTGGCCCAGAAGTTAATTGACAGCATGCCAGGGCGGATTGCAGAGGTCTTGAAAAAGATGGGTCAACACTGCAAATGTTGACTCTTTGGATAAACTTAATGTAATTGTCAATAAAATCCTTTGACACTTATGGAATGCTTGTAATTATACTTCAGTATACCATAGTAACATCTGACAAAAAATATCTAAAAACACTGAAGCAGCAAACTTTGTGAAGACCAATACTTGTGTCGTTCTCAAAACTTTTGACCAACGACTGTATCTTCAGTTGCTCCGTGTTCGTGCGCCGTGCTTTGAAAGCGAGGTAAACAGCATCTTGGTCTCTTAAATGTCACATTTACGTATACAGGACCTGCTGCGTGTGCTAGGGAAAGGAATGGATACATTCTACTCTTAAGCAGGAATGCTGAGAGCTAGATAGCTCTGTGCATTAAAGCCAATGGTTGTAGATATATCTCATACTGATGCTCAACCATTGTATTTAATTAAAGTGGATTTCTAAGAACTGATTTAGATTATGCTCAATATGGAACCCATCAGAGAGGAATCAGGGACTTTCTCAGACCATCTTCACTTTCTTTCTCTCTCTCTCTCTCTCTCTCTCTCTCTCTCTCTCTCTCTCTCTCTCTCTCTCTCTCTCTCTCTCTCTCTCTCCACTCAGTGTTCTGTCGCCAAGATGAAATAGAATCAAAGCTTTTGAAGATTGAGGGTCTGATTACTTCTCTTGGAAAACACATACATTCAAGTAAGAGTTTTTCACTTTTTACCTTTAAAAGTATAGTCATGAGTTGAAGGTTTAAGTGAACTGACTCTTGGAACTGTTTTTGTTAAAGAAGGTGGAATTGGGGACGTAAGGCCTTCCAAACATGGTGAGTAGTTAGGTAGGGAGAACCCCATCCGCTACGAGTTGCTCCTATATATTATGTGTAATAACAACACTGTGTTATTACAATGTAGTTACAATAGTAGTTACAATAGTAGTTACAATAGTAGTTACAATAGTAGTTACAATAGCAGTTACAGTAGCAGTTACAATAATAGTTACAATAATAGTTACAATAGTAGTTACAATAGTAGTTACAATAGTAGTTACAATAATAGTTACAATAATAGTTACAATAGTAGTTACAATAGTAGTTACAATAGTAGTTACAATAGTAGTTACAATAATAGTTACAATAATAGTTACAATAGTAGTTACAGTAGAAGTTACAATAATAGTTACAATAATAGTTACAATAGTAGTTACAATAGTAGTTACAATGATAGTTACAATAATAGTTACAATAGTAGTTACAGTAGCAGTTACAATAATAGTTACAATAGTAGTTACAATAGTAGTTACAATAGTAGTTACAATAATAGTTACAATAGTAGTTACAATGATAGTTACAATAATAGTTACAATAGTAGTTACAGTAGCAGTTACAATAATAGTTACAATAGTAGTTACAATAGTAGTTACAATAGTAGTTACAATAATAGTTACAATAGTAGTTACAATAGTAGTTACAATAATAGTTACAATAATAGTTACAATAGTAGTTACAATAGTAGTTACAATAGTAGTTACAATAATAGTTACAATAGTAGTTACAATAATAGTTACAATAATAGTTACAATAGTAGTTACAATAGTAGTTACAATAGCAGTTACAATAGTAGTTACAATAGTAGTTACAATAATAGTTACAATAGTAGTTACAATAATAGTTACAATAGTAGTTACAATAGTAGTTACAATAGTAGTTACAATAGCAGTTACAGTAGCAGTTACAATAATAGTTACAATAATAGTTACAATAGTAGTTACAATAGTAGTTACAATAGTAGTTACAATAGTAGTTACAATAATAGTTACAATAATAGTTACAATAGTAGTTACAGTAGCAGTTCGAACATTACTACACAGGTATGTGTAATGTATAGGGTAACACTTTACATTAAGTTGTTATTTTATTATTTCTATTTAGATTACTTATATTTAGAGAATGATTGTTTATTAGTTGTATAGCATTCTGTCTTCTGTGTCGGATGTTAACCCTATCCCTCCTGTCCCCCTATAGAGCCCAGAGCGATGTCTCCCCTGGTGCTCCACTTCCCAGAGAGGAACTCAGAGAGTTATGCCCTGGCCCACCTAACTCACCCCATGGACCTGCACTCCTTCACCGCCTGCATGCACCTGAGGACGCGCTCTGGAGGGATACACACTGTCCTGTCATACTCCAGCCAGGGCAACGACAACGAACTGATGATCACCATGGGATATGAGGTGGGTGGGGAGGAGGGAGGAGGGAGGAAGGAGGAGGGAGGAGGGAGGAGGGAGGAGGGAGGAGGGAGGAGGGAGGAGGGAGGAGGGATTAGGGAGGAGGGAGGAGGGAGGAGGGAGGAGGGAGGAAGGATGAGGGAGGAGGGAGGAAGGAGGAGGGAGGAAGGAGGAGGAGGGAGGAGGGAGGAGGAGGGAGGAGGGAGGAGGGAGGAAGGAGGAGGGATTAGGGAGGAGGGAGGAGGGAGGAGGGAGGAAGGATGAGGGATGAGGGAGGAGGGAGGAGGGAGGAGGGAGGAGGGAGGAGGGAGGAGGGAGGAGGGAGGAGGGAGGAGGGATGAGGGAGGAGGGAGGAGGGAGGAGGGAGGAGGAGAGGAGAGAGGAAGGAGGAAGGATGAGGGATGAGGGAGGAAGGAGGAGGGAGGAGGGATGAGGGAGGAGGGAGGAGGGAGGAGGGAGGAAGGAGGAGGGAGGAGGGATGGAAGGAGGAGGGACAAGGGAGGAGGGATGAGGGAGGAGGGATGGAAGGTGGCGGGACGAGGGAGGAGGGATGAGGGAGGAGGGATGGAAGGTGGAGGGAGGAGGAATGAGGGATGGAAGGAGGAGGGAGGAGGAGGGGATGAGGGATGAGGGAGGAGGGATGGAAGGTGGAGGGATGAGGGAGGAGGGAGGAGGGAGGAGGGAGGAGGGAGGAGGGATGGAAGGATGTGGGGAGGAGGGGAGGGATGGGGGAGGAGGAGGGAGGAGGGAGGAGGAGGGAGGGATGAGGGAGGAGGAGGGAGGGATGAGGGAGGATGGAAAAGTCATAAAGTCTTATTTATATTTGTCATGTGATCCATCCAGGTGGGTCTGTGGATCGGCAACGAGTTTGTCAACCTGCCCCACAACTTCCACTCCCATGACTGGGCCAACTACTGTGTCACCTGGTCGTCCCACTCCGGGGGGGCTGAGCTGTGGATCAACGGGCTGGTGGGGGAGGAGCAGTACCTCCGGGGGGGCTACACGATCAGCCCAGCAGGGGTCTTCATCCTGGGCAAGGAACAGGACGGCTTCCTGGGGATCTCTGACACGGGCGCCTTCGTGGGTCAGATGACGGATGTCAACGTGTGGGACTATGTTTTGAGCTCGGCTGAGATCCAGGAACAGATGTCCTGTGACACCACCTCTCCGAAGGGGAGCGTGTTCAGCTGGGGGGTCACTCATCTGAGTCTCTATGGAGGGGTGCAGCTGGAGACAGACTACAGGTGTCACTGAGGGGAGCAGACAGCTGCAGCACAGGGGGGGCCTGGGTGGTGTTCAGTAGGGCACAACATAGCAAAACACGTTGTAACGGAAATAAAATATAAATAATCTCCAGTCAATATATCAAATCTATCCTTTACTGCTGCTGACTATTGAGTATGAAGGGTAACTCATCTATTTGAGACAAGGCTATCAGGTTCAGTATGACAATGTTTATTGTATAAGGGAAGGGAATCACGGAAGATCTCTGAATGTCCGTGTGGGTTCAGAGCATCAGCCATCTATCGTATTCATATCTTTGTTTTCTCAATAAAGTTCTATATTAAGCATCTTGTGTTTATTTTATTAAATCTAACAGCCGTGTATCATTAGACACACTGCAAAGCCAGTGAACTACAGATTGCATCAACTGGTTCCAGACCAGTCTGTCACCATTCAAACAGAAGAGACCGTTAATTAATACAGATTACATCAACTGGTTCCAGACCAGTCTGTCACCTTTCAAACAGAAGAGACCGTTAATAAATACAGATTACATCAACTGGTTCCAGACCAGTCTGTCACCTTATTTTTTTGTGACCTTGAATGCGTCATCTTCCCTGCTGTCTCCTGGTTCTGATTTGAGTGGAACGTCTCCCACTTGTATCTCTACCTGGTTCCTGTGAGCGAACATCTGACTGATCTCCAAGAAGGTGTTGGTCTACGGGACGACCAGCCAGATTTAGACCAGTGTAGAAGATGATGAAACTGCTGGGATCCAGGCCTCTCTGGAGGGCAGAGATAGATATATAATTATATATAGCATGTACTCTACTGTACTGATGATGAAACTGCTGGGGCCTAGGCCTCTCTGGACGGCAGAGATAGATATATAATTATATATAGTATTGATAGATTAATTATTAATGACTAATTATTACACCCTGAAACTGTGTGAAATGTGTTAGAAATGTGTGAGTGGAGGACCAGTAAAGATTATGGCATTGAGCTACTATTTAGCAATGTGAGTAAGAGTTAGGCCAGACAAAGGACAAGGAGAACTGCCTACAGGCAACTGAGAAACCAAGATAAAGAGGCCCCTCCCAGTTTAGGGAGGAGAGAAACTGTTAGGCTTTTTAAAGAGTATGAAATATGGTGCAGGATATTGTGAGGACGGCGATAACTAAGGAATGCATGTGTGTGTGTATGTATGTATGTGTGTATGCATGTGTGTGTGTGTATGTGTGTGTGTGTGTATGTGTGTGTATGTGTGTGTGTGTGTACTGATGGTCAGGAGAGCAGTTTTAAAGTGGAAAACTACAGCCCGCCTTTTTATTTTATTTTTATTTCACCTTTATTTAACCAGGTAAACCAGTTGAGAACAAGTTCTCATTTACAACTGCGACCTGGCCAAGATAAAGCAAAGCAGTGCGATAAAAACAACAACACAGAGTTACATATGGGGTAAAACAAAACAAAGTCAAAAATACAACAGAAATACATATATATACAGTGTGTGCAAATGTAGCAAGTTATGGAGGTAAGGCAATAAATAGGCTATAGTGCAAAATAATTACAATTTGTATTAACACTGGAATGCTAGATGTGCAAGAGATTATGTGCAAATAGAGATACCGGGGTACAAATGAGCAAAATAAATAACAATATAGGGATGAGGTAGTTGGGCGGGCTAATTTCAGATGGGCTGTGTACAGGTGCAGTGATCGGTAAGGTGCTCTGACAACTGATGCTTAAAGTTAGTGAGGGAGATAAGTGTCTCCAGCTTCAGAGATCTTTGCAATTTGTTCCAGTCATTGGCAGCAGAGAACTGGAAGGAATTGCGGCCAAAGGAGGTGTTGGCTTTGGGGATGACCAGTGAGATATACCTGCTGGAGCGCAGACTACGGGTGGGTGTTGCTATGGTGACCAATGAGCTAAGATAAGGTGGGGATTTGCCTAGCAGTGATTTATAGATGGCCTGGAGCCAGTGGGTTTGGCGACGAATATGTAGTGAGGACCAGCCAACAAGAGCGTACAGGTCACAGTGGTGGGTATTATATGGGGCTTTGGAGACAAAACGGATGGCACTGTGAAAGACTACATCCAATTTGCTGAGTAGAGTGTTGGAGGCTATTTTGTAAATGACATCGCCGAAGTCAAGGATCGGTAGGATAGTCAGTTTTACGAGGGCATGTTTGGCAGCATGAGTGAAGGAGGCTTTGTTGCGAAATAGGAAACCGATTCTAGATTTAACTTTGGATTGGAGATTCTTAATGTGAGTCTGGAAGGAGAGTTTACAGTCTAACCAGACACCTAGATATTTGTAGTTGTCCACATACTCTAGGTCAGACCCGTCGAGAGTAGTGATTCTAGTCGGATGGGCGGGTACAAGCAGCGTTCGGTTGAAGAGCATGCATTTAGTTTTACTAGTGTTTAAGAGCAGTTGGAGGCTACTGAAGGAGTGTTGTATGGCATTGAAGCTCGTTTGGAGGTTTGTTAACACAGTGTCCAATGAAGGGCCAGATGTATACAAAATGGTGTCGTCTGCGTAGAGGTGGATCTGAGAGTCACCAGCAGCAAGAGCGACGTCATTGATATACACAGAGAAAAGAGTCGGCCCAAGAATTGAACCCTGTGGCACCCCCATAGAGACTGCCATAGGTCCAGACAACAGGCCCTCCGATTTGACACATTGAACTCTATCTGAGAAGTAGTTGGTGAACCAGGCGAGGCAGTCATTTGAGAAACCAAGGCTATTTAGTCTGCCAATAAGAATGCGGTGGTTGACAGAGTCGAAAGCCTTGGCCAGGTCAATGAAAACGGCTGCACAGTACTGTCTATTATCGATCGCGGTTATAATATCGTTTAGGACCTTGAGCGTGGCTGAAGTGCACCCATGACCAGCTCGGAAACCGGATTGCATAGCGGAGAAGGTACGGTGGGATTCGAAATGGTCGGTGATCTGTTTGTTGACTTGGCTTTCAAAAACTTTTGAAAGGCAGGGCAGGATGGATATGGGTCTGTAACAGTTTGGATCTAGAGTGTCACCCCCTTTGAAGAGGGGGATGACCGCGGCAGCTTTCCAATCTCTGGGGATCTCAGACGTTACGAAAGAGAGGTTGAACAGGCTAGTAATAGGGGTTGCGACAATTTCGGCGGCTAGTTTTAGAAAGAAAGGGTCCAGATTGTCTAGCCCAGATGATTTGTAGGGGTCCAGATTTTGCAGCTCTTTCAGAACATCAGCTGTCTGGATTGCCTACTGAGAAGAGGGATGTTTGTATGACGTATGAGTATAAAAGATGGACTCTGAAATTGTGATGGCAGAACGTTCTCATGAATAAAGCCTGATGATTGTATGCTGGGCTGCTCGGTCTGATTATTAGAGATTTACAACCTCTGGGATACAGACTGAGTAAAAAGTTCATTTTTGAAACATTGGGATATAAATTCACGTAACAGCTTGGTCCTTCGAGCCGGATCTCAACACCCGTTGTCTGTCGTCCCAGGGAACACCGAAACCGTGCACGGGCGGATCTAGGATCCGTGGGATAAAGTCCTGACCTCTAAAATTGAGGGTTAATCCAGGCCGGTGGTGAACTGGTTCACGACAGGAACGGTGACGAGATCCAACCAAATTGAGTCCCAGCTACAAGAATAAGGTCAGTAGTCTTTATTCATGGGTTTTGGAGGAAATTATCTGAACTTACAAGAACTGTTCTAATTCTTGTAAAGGACAGAGAATGATTACCAAAACCCTCAAGGAAGTCTTGCCATCGTGTTTTTAGTCGCTGATCTAGAGAAAACCATGCGTGAGTATTCTAAATAAGTAGGAAATACGACTGATGTGGCAAAGGGAGGGGGGGGGGGGGGGGGGGGTACGAAATAAATTCTATAGAAATAGACTCCGGGTAGAGAGGCCATTACCGAACATAAACTAGAATATGGGAAGCAAACCCTCCAAGGAGGTCCCGGGGTCAACCAGAGATGAGAGATTTACGGAATCCAGGGATAGAAGAAATCTCCATTGTGTAACCAGGTGGAGGGAGAGGTATGGTTTTGAGGGACGTCTGGACGCAGACAAACTCGAACCCATGCTTAAACAGATACATAAGGTGTGTAAAGGAGAAAGAAGCAGTGAGAGAGAGAGAGTATGTACTCTACTGTACTAATGATGAAACTGCTGGGGCCCAGGTCTCTCTGTAGATGTACGTAAAGAGGTAGAGACATTTTTCATATTTTTTATTTCACCTTTATTTAACCAGGTAGGCCAGTTGAGAACAAGTTCTCATTTACAACTGCGACCTGGCATAGAGGGGGAGGACACAGTGAGGAATATGTCCACAACCTGTTTGCTTTAATAGTCCCAAAAACCACTGCTGAGACTCTTATAAACATCTAAATGTCTTCTTTCACAGTGAGGGATATGTCCAGAACCTTCTCTCTGTTGATCTGGCCATTATTCAGACTTATAGACATATAAATGGCTTCTTTCACAGTGAGGAATATGTCCAGAACCTTCTCTCTGTTGATCTGGCCATTATTCAGACTCATGTACATCTAAATGGCTTCTTTCCTGCTGGGAGAGCTGACCTCCATGAAGGGGAACAACAATACCACAGTGAAGTTGGACAGCCAGTGGACCGACCCTGCCACCATGAAGGCTGCTGATCTGAGCGACTGGCGGAACATCTCTGGTCACCACGTAGGGAAAAGGAGGTCAGAGGTTAGTCTCCCTAGACATCCGGGTTGCCTCCAATGTTCCAGTTTAACACGTCTGTACGTAACAGAACATCAGTTTGGCACAGAGGAACTACGTCACGGCCTTGTCCACTTCTTGCCCACATCCCCCCGGACACAAAATAGTAGCTAGCAAGATGGAGATCAAGGAGGTTATTTTTAATGAGTGCATTTAGAAAGTGGCTAGTTTGCATCAACTACCTTAACTAAAACCACTGCAAAGGTTTTGCCTGCAAACTTTGGTTTCGAATCACAACGTTCTGACGGGCGGCAGGTAGCTTAGTGGGTAAGAG